CAATGAAAATATTCCATTGATTTTTTTCCTTAATTTTTTAGTTATCTTTAATGATATCGTGTCAGATTATTTAGTACTTTGAATTATCTTTAAGATAACGTGTTATATTGCTTATTATTTTGAGTTATCTTTAAGATAACGTGTTATTTTGCTTATTATTTTGAGCAATCTTTAAGATAACGTGTTATTTTGTTTATTATTTTGAGATATCTTTAAGATAACGTGTTATATTGCTTAATATTATGCGTTATCTTTGTGATATTGTTATATTATTTAGTTATCTCTGTAATAACTTTTCAAATAGTTATTCTTAACGATATCGTCTTACCTTCGTCTTCTTGCCACATTTACACAAGGGTGTTACAAGGTTACACAAGGGTGTTACAAGGTTACACAAGAGTGTTACAAGGTTACACAAGGGTGTTACAAGGTTACACAAGAGTGTTACAAGGTTACACAAGGTTGTTACAAGGTTACACAAGGGTGTTACAAGGTTACACAAGGGTGTTACAAGGTTACACAAGAGTGTTACAAGGTTACACAAGGGTGTTACAAGGTTACACAAGAGTGTTACAAGGTTACACAAGGGTGTTACAAGGTTACACAAGGGTGTTACAAGGTTAAACAAGAGTGTTACAAGGTTACACAAGGGTGTTACAAGGCTACACAAGTTTGTTGCAAGGCTGCATCAGTGTGCTGTAAGGCTGCATCAGTGTGTTACAAGGCTATATCATTGTGTTACAAGGCTACACAAGGGTGTTACAAGGCTACATGAGTGTGTTAGAAGGCTACACAGGGGTGATACAAGGCTACATCAGTGTGTTGCAAGGCTACACAAGTGTGTTACAAGGCTACACAAGGATGTTACAAGGCTATATGAATGTGTTACAAGGCTACACTGGGGTGATACAAGGCTACATCAGTGTGTTACAAGGCTACACAGGGGTGATACAAGGCTACATCAGTGTGTTGCAAGGCTACACAAGTGTGTTGCAAGGCTACATCAGTGTGTTGCAAGGCTACATCAGTGTGTTGCAAGGCTACACAAGTGTGTTGCAAGGCTATATCAGTGTGTTGCAAGGCTACATCAGTGTGTTGCAAGGCTACACAAGCGTGACATAAGGCTAGACTAAGATTTTCACTCAGTATTTACAAGCTGAGAGCTGTTACCTTCCTCAGCTCATTTAACAGCCTATAATCATACGTAATCATACGTAATTATACGTAATTATATGCAGCTATGTGGCGGTCTGCTAGCGCGTCGGTCTGGGGTTTTATGATTCACTGATCGCGGGTTCTAACCCCATCCGTAGTATGGTTTGATACCTACAGCTCATAACGCTGAATACTGAACGTGCGTTTATCCGCGAAGCTAAGAGGAAGATTTTGGTGCAAAGGTACATGAAAAATGTGCAGCTAAGAGAGGAATCTTGTGGCGATGTTATGGTTCTTTTTGGACCATTGTCAAGTCACAGTTGGGGTGAGAAAAATAGAGAAGGCCAGAAGAAACTACTTAAGGAGTCTGGGGGGGGATCAAGTAGAAATATTACTAGCAGTAACAAGGAGTAGTACTAGTAATAATAGTAGAAATAGTTTTAGTAGAGAAAGTAGGGGTAGTAGTAATACTAATAATAGAAGTAGTAATAGTAGTAATAATAATAGTAGAAATAGTAGTAGTAGGAGTACATGTAACAGTAATAGTAGTAGTATTAGTAATAGTAGTAGTAATAGCAATAGTTGTAGTAATAATAATAGTAGTACTAGTGGTAATAGTACTAGTAGTAGTAGTAATGGTGTTTCGTGAAGTGTTTTAGACAGGGTATTTTTATATAAGTGTGTGTGTGTGTGTGTGTGTGTGTGTGTGTGTGTGTGTGTGTGTGTGTGTGTGTGTGTGTGTGTGTGTGTGTGGTGTGTGTGTGTGTATGTGTGTGTATGTGTGTGTGTGTATATGTGTGTGTATGTGTGTGTGTGTGTGTATGTGTGTGTATGTGTACTCACCTAATTGTGGTTGCAGGGGTCGAGACTCAGCTCCTGACCCCGCAAGACTTAGCTCCTGGCCTGTGTGTGTGTGTGTGTGTGTGTGTGTGTGTGTGTGTGTGTGTCTGTCTGTCTGTCTGTCTGTCTGTCTGTCTGTCTGTCTGTCCATTCCCCATTTAATTAGGGTGCTAGTGAAATCATTTTTTTTTATTTTTGGTCCGATTTCAACGAAATTTTTACAGTGATTTAAGCAGCACCTGTAGCCTACACACTGTGTTTGTAGTGACTTTTTGCCTTAAAAGATAGATAGCAAATAATACTGTCCTACTGTATGGGGCATCAAACTCTCCCGTATCTACAAAATTGGTAAGATGTACAATGCTGTAGTTGACATCATATAAAAGATAAAGGTTAGATAATCTTGGTACTAACCCCGTTTGAGCGAAAATGTCAATAGATTGCATAATAAAAAGTGTTGAAATTTGTTATTTTTTATGGATTTTTTGGGAAGAAAAAATCAATAAAAACAAAGCGGAAAAAAATATTGCAAATCCCCTACACATGCCTGTAGAACCATCATTACTCAACAACGTGTGTAAAAATCATGACACTCCTATAAATACTTTTCGCCAAAAATGGAAAATTATGTTAACTTATTCCCGAGTTATACATATTTTATGTTTTCCGTAAAACTCTACGGTGATAGCGCGCCACGTTTCAGTATGTCGCGCACCTCAACACATGTTGGCAGCCCACAGGCGACTGAGCTGCTGTCTCTGCCTGAAGTTGAATGGAGTCCTCAGAGAAGTTACAATAAAACAATCATAAAAATCGTAATTTTTGGAGGGAAAAAAACACGAATTGCCATCATGTCTTTTTGATGACAGCAAGAAGAAAAAAAATATATTTTTGGAAAAACTTACTTAGAAATATGATAGAAACAAGCTGATTACATTAACATGATGGCAGAATTATGCACTGGTTTTGGTAAGAAAACATTTTATTCCATAATTTTTCCATTTTGCTTTCTTATTACTCATAAAAAAAATTTGCACCATCTAAGTGCCTCAGACTCACTGAGGTTTATATAACTTACTCTCTCTCTCTCTCTCTCTCTCTCTCTCTCCTCCCTCATACATCAGTCATCATCTCTTTCACTACCTACTCCATCATCTCTCCTCTCACTTTTTCCTTCACACCTCCTTTACCACACTCTCCTCTTTATGTTTTTACTCATCGCCTCCCCACATTTTATTCTTGTTTTTCCCCTCGTTTTATTCTCTCTCTGCCCCTTTTCTTTCTCCTCTTAACCTCGTCTCGCTCCCTCTCCATCCCTGTACCTCACCTCACACTCCTCCCACTCACCCCCATCCCCATCCCAATCCCACTCCAAACTCCTACTCCACCTCCCTCTCCCACTACCCCTCCCATTCCCAATCCCACTCCCACTCCCAACTCCCGCTCCCGCTCCCGCACCCCCTCCCACTCCCCCTCCCCAAGTCATCATCACTCCCTCATCCCTCCATCACCATCCTTCCCCGCACCTCCCTACCCCATTACTTCCCATCCTGCTTGCCCCTCCCTAATACCCCCCTCCCCCTCCCCCACCCCTATCTTCCCTCCACCACTGGACACTACTAAGGGGTAGGGGGGGGGGTAGCGGCAGCTCTAGGTGAAACAAGGACAATGAGTTATTGCTTTACATAAATCCTGGCTTAAGCACCGAGCCTGGAGTAAAAATAGAGTGCCCGTTGAGCAAGGGGGAGGGGGGTTTGGGTGGGGAGGAGGGGGAAGGGGGAAGGAAATAGAGAGAGTGGGAGGAAGCGTGGAAATGGTCGGGATGGTATGATGGGGAGGGGGAGGGGAGGAGAATGGGGAGGGGGAATGGGTGCGGGAGGAAGGGAGGGGGGTCGGAGACGTCAAGGTCGGGGGGGGGGAAATTGAAAACAAAATTAGGTTCAATGCTATTCTTTATTGATGACGTTTCGCCCACACACTGAACTTTATCAAGTGACGAGCAGCTTTACCTGTAGGAGAGAGAGAGAGAGAGAAAGAGAGACATTTTAAAGAGAAATTAGAGTATGAACACACACACACACACACACACACACACACACACACACACACACACTCACTCACGAGATTATAATTTAAAAGTCAAACTTCAAGTTTCCTTCAACATAGTCAAGTTAGGACGCACTTCATCCACGTAACTTATACCAAATGATACTCTCTGCTAGATATTATTATTATTATTATTATTATTATTATTATTATTATTATTATTATTATTATTATTATTATTATTATTATTATTATTGTTATTGTTATTATCATCATCATCATTATTATTTTCATCATCATACTATGTCGGTTATCTCTCTCTCTCTCTCTCTCTCTCTCTCTCTCTCTCTCTCTCTCTCTCTCTCTCTCTCTCTCTCTCTCTCTCTCTCTCTCTCTCTCTCACTCTCTCTCTCTCCTCTCTCTCTCTCTCTCTTTCGCTCTCTTTCTTCTACAAGGAGAAGAACAGGCAAACATTATACTCAGTTTCGAAACTGGGTAGTAAATTCACAAATACAATACTTGACAAAGGTAATGCCATCTTGATCTTCTCAGTAGATGTAAAGTCGTACCACATCAGACGTTTCACTCTGTAGGGTCGTGAGAGAAACGAACTAGACAAGGTCGTAGTGACAATCCCAGTGCACAGTCTAAGAAGTGGAGGTAAGAAGCATAGATTACCTCTAGTGACTAACAAAGGTAACATCACCTTTGGTCAGTCTCAGGACTTGGGCAGGTAGCATAGATTATCTCCAATGGTTGACAAAGGTAACATCACCTTTGGATAGTCTCAGGAGTGGGGCAGGAAGCATAGATTACCTCCAATGGTTGACAAAGGTAACATCACCTTTGGTCAGTCTCAGGACTTGAGCAGAAAGCATAGATTACCTCTAATGATTGACAAAGGTAACATCACCTTTGGATAGTCTCAGGAGTGGGGCAGGAAGCATAGATTACCTCCAATGGTTGACAAAGGTAACATCACCTTTGGTCAGTCTCAGGACTTGGGCAGGAAGCATAGATTACCTCTAATGATTGACAAAGGTAACATCACCTTTGGAGAGTCTCAGAAGTGGGGTAGGAAGCATAGATTACAGCCAACGGTTGACAAAGGTAACAGCCCGTTGGTCTCTTCCCCAGCAGATGTCAGGTCGTATGACGACAAGACGGTGGTGATCAAGGAGCTGGTCGTTCCTGACAATCCCAGTGATGGGGACGACGTTACGCTCACCTGTCGTTTCGAGCTGACTGGTTACAACCACAGATTGTACACAGTCAACTGGTGGAGAGGCAAGGATCAGTTCTACACCTACAAAGGAACTAACTACGATCACAAGCACGCCTACACCTTCCGTGGTATACAAGTGAAGGTACGTCCTACTTCCTGTATCATACACACACGTACTTGGACAGTTTTATCAAGTCATATTTTGCTCTATGTAGAGCTTTATCAAGTCATGTTTCCCCTCTATGTAGAGCTTTATCAGGTCATGTTTCCCTCTATGTAGAGCTTTATCAAGTCATGTTTCCCCTTTATGTAGAGCTTTATCAGGTCATGTTTCCCTCTATGTAGAGCTTTATCAAGTCATGTTTCCCCTCTGTGTAGGGTTATTTGCGTGAGGGTTATTTGTGTATTGTACCAGTATTGTACCGGTATTGTACCAGTATTGTATAGGTATTGTACCAGTATTGTACCAGTATTGTACCGGTAGTGTACAATATTATACGAGTATAGTACCAGTATTGTACCCGTATTGTGTCTTTTCATTTGTTAGTGTGATATTTTTCGTTTCTCACAATAACCTCGTTTTGAATGACTATCTCTCTCTCTCCCTCTCTCTCTCCCTGTGTGTGTCTCAGAAGGAAGAGTCGACGGACGAGTCTGTGGTTCTCAAGAACGTGTCAGAGGACACTTCGGGTGTTTTCAAGTGCGAGGTGATGGGGGAGGGTCCCTCCTTTCGCACGGCAGTTGAAACCAAGACTATGACTGTTATAGGTAAGTGATGGGGAAATGGGAGGATGGGGGAGGACTGGATAGGTCGTGGTGGGAGAGTAGGGGATGGATGACCTCTTCTATAACACTCTGATGGGACTTGAATCATCTTCACTATAGTAACTGTGTTTCCATATCTATAGATCGCAGTAATTAATTCCTGCAGATGTTTTCCCCAGTCATACACTCCCTCCCTGATACGTTTCATCCCTTACTCCCCTCATCTTCTCTTCCTCCTGTCTCATCTCCCCTCTCCTCTTCCCTTTGTCAAGGGAAACCAAGAACTCAGCAGATATAGATCAAAGAAGCTGAAAAACAAGCAGTCTCCCAGGTCAGGTACTGTGCCACCCAGAGCAAGGCACTATGCCACCCAGGGCCAGGCATTGTGCCATCCAGGGCCAGGCATTGTGCCATCCAGGGCCAGGCATTGTGCAACCCATGGCCAGGCACTGTGCCACCCAGGGCCAAGCACTGTAATCACCCTGGGCCAGGCACTATGCCACCCAGGGCCAGGCACTGTACCACCTAGGGCCAGACTCTGTGCCACCCAGAACAGGCACTGCACTACATAGCAGGCATTGTTCATTTAAGCTAGCAGATTGGTGCTCATGGTACCCCACTCACACGGCTATGACTGTCGTTATGTCCCTCTGACTCCATGTCTGTGTATATTTTGTATGTTTTGTAATACACACACACATACATATATATATACGTATATATATATATATATATATATATATATATATATATATATATATATATATATATATATATATTATATATATATATTATATGTATATATATATATATATATCACTGAACCGTCTTGGGTTTGTGCACCAAAGAATGAACAACACAGTTCAGATGTGAACGTATTATTGAATAAAACTTTATTGCATGAGTAGCGATCTTGATCTTATCTGAAGAGCAATTTCATTTGAATTCTGATGTTTGCTCACCTCTGCCAAGACAGCTATTGATGGAATGATGGTCAATGTTTACTTCTTTTTATTTAGGGGGGAATCGCCCAATCTTGATGGGAGATGTCCCATGTGGTAACAATAATAATAATAATAATAATAATAATAATAATAATAATAATAATGATAATAATAATAATAATAATAATAATAATAATAATAACAATAATAATAACAATACTAATAATAATAATAATAATAATAATAATAATAATAATAATAATAATAATAATAATAATAATAATATTAATAATAATAATAATAATTTTAAAATAGACGAAATTCTATAAATAGTAATCAATTCATACATAACTGGACACGAGGTATACATTCCAAGACTTATAACAGGGCTATGTATTATGTATAAATCTTAGGCATATAAGGAATTACGTACGTGTAGCAGCAATAGTGGCTTCCATAACGAACAGTTAGTATACGTGGAGCTTACTGTGGTATTTCCCGTATATTGAGGAGTTTAGAGCAGCATATCTCCGTCTTAGTGGGACAATCAGTGTATTGTTGGATATTGTTGTGATGGTGAGAGAGAGAGAGAGAGAGAGAATGTGTTGGTGGAGTATGGGAGTAGAATTAAGGCGTGTAGGATGTTAAATAGGTGTGGTATGGGTTTGGAATGAGTGGGTGTTGTGTGTGGAATGGGATGGGTATGGGAGGAGAATGAGAGGGAAATAGGAAGAGAAATAAGGATGGTATGAGGTGGAAATGAAGGGGTTTTGAAGAGGGAAGAATAGGGTGTTATTGTGAGGAGGATGGAGGTGTGCTGGAGTGGAAAATTGGAGAGATAAGAGTGTAGAATGAGTGTGTGGGGGTGGGAGAGAGGTGTGTGGGTGGGGAGATACGTTGTGTAGGAGTGGAGAAAAAGATTGTGTGGGAGAGAAAGGTTGTGTGGGTGGGGAAAAGGTTGTAGGGGTGGAGAGAAAGATTGTGTGGGTGGGAGAAAGGTTATAGGGGTGGAGAGAAAGATGGTGTGGGTGGGGAGAAATGTTGTGTAGGAGTAGGGAGAAGCGTTGTGTGGGTGGAGAGAAACGTTGTGTAGGGGGGAGGAAGAGTGTGTGAACATACAATATTCCCACATTTCTCTCGTAAGTCCCAAAAATTATAGAAGATTCGATACCACTGACATGAATTCTAATGTTTTATAATTAACAAGAACACAAACCATAAACCAACCAATACAATGCAACGTTTTCATTAAACTGACCCAGATAAAACCATCGTTTTGTCATTTTACTTTTTCTTGAGACACGAAACACCCATTAATCCAGTCCCTCTCCCTGTATGTTCAATGTAACAATCATCACATGCACCACATGGATATACAACAGCAAGAACACTGGAATTTTAATTTCATGACTGCCTTTCCACGGGTCGACTCAAACCTTTGAACTACTAACCTTTGGGACACCCTGTATACATCACTTTCACAAGTGATGTACAGGGTGTCCCCAAAGTCTAGGACCATAGGTCATTGGCACAGTTGTTTTTATTCTTAGCGTTCGTTAAAGAAATTGCTTTTCTTATGCTGCTGGTAAAGGATCTATATTATATTGTCTCATGTTTGTCTTGTGTGTATGTGTGTGTATGTGCGTGTGTGTGTGTGTGTGTGTGTGTGTGTGTGTGTGTGTGTGTGTGTGTGTGTGTGTGTGTGTGTGTGTGTGTTGTGTGTGTGTGTGTATGTGCGTGTGTATGTGCGTGTGTGTATGTGCGTGTGTACGTGTGTGCGTGTGTGTGTGTGTGTGTGTGTGTGTGTGTGTGTGTGTGTGTGTATGTGTATGTGTGTGAAAATAGATTTTAATCTACTGTGAATTATTATACCACTGATTAATTGGCTAATTAGTCTACAGATAATCACTGACATCATTAGAGAGCTGGGTTGGGTTATTTTATGTGAATCTTTAGCATTATGCAGCATTCATCTGTGTTTGTCTGTTCACAGCATCATCTAACCTTCCTCTCTTCATTCACAGCATCATCTGACCTTGCTTTCTTCATGCACAGCATCAACTATCCTTCTCCTACCCACCCACAGAGACACCTAAGTCCATCTATCCATCCTCTGGTGCTTCCTAATTCGACCTATTCACTCACAATATTTCCTAACCTACGCCTATCCATCCAGGTAGCCATGTACCCTTCCAATCTATCCACTTAGAGTGCCTCTTAATCCACACATGCCCACCCAGAGTGCCCACTAATACCACGTACGAACCCACAGTTACAAAAATCTCCCATATCCACCCACAGTGCTATCTAACTTCCCCATGTTCACCCACAGTTCCGTCTAATTCCCACATATCCACCCACAGTGCCACCCAAACAAGTTGAGATCCACTCCTGGGCCAACCCCGACCCTCCTACATACCGTGCTGGAGAGACCATCCAGATCAACTGTACTGCTAGAGGAACCAAGCCAAGAGCACATATTACGTGGAAAATCAATGGAAGACCGGTGAGTTTCATCAGTGTCCGGATAAACGGTCAGTTTTCCGCATAAGCGGTGAGTTCTCTAACGAGTAGACAACTTCCGGATAACCGGTGAGCTTCGCATCTAGTTGCTGGTACCTCCGGGTGAGTGGTTAGTTTCTTGAGTTATTCGGAAAAGTGATCAGAGTCTTGAGTTATTGAACTGGTGTAAAAAGATGTGTGTGTTTGTGTGTGTGTGTGTGTGTGTGTGTGTGTGTGTGTGTGTGTGTGTGTGTGTGTGTGTGTGTGTGTGTGTGTGTGTACTCACCTAATTGTACTCACCTAATTGTGGTTGCAGGGGTCGAGACTCAGCTCCTGGCCCCGCCTCTTCACTGATTGCTACTAGGTCCTCTCTCTCTCTGCTTCCTGAGCTTTATCATACCTCTTCTTAAAACTATGTATGGTTCCTGCCTCCACTACTTCACTTGCTAGGCTATTCCACTTCCTGACGACTCTATGACTGAAGAAATACTTCCTGACGTCCCTGTGACTCGTCTGAGTCTTCAGCTTCCAGTTGTGACCCCTTGTTCCTGTGTCCCCTCTCTGAAACATCCTATCTCTGTCCACCTTGTCTATTCCCAGCAGTATCTTGTATGTCGTTATCATGTCTCCCCTGACCCTTCTGTCCTCCAGTGTCGTCAGTCCGATTTCCCTCAACCTTCCCTCGTACGACATTCCCCTGAGCTCTGGGACTAGCCTTGTTGCAAACCTTTGTACTTTCTCTAACTTCTTGACGTGCTTGACCAGGTGTGGGTTCCAGACTGGTGCTGCATACTCCAGTATGGGCCTAACATACACAGTGTACAGTGTCTTGAACGATTCCTTATTAAGGTATCGGAACGCTATTCTCAGGTTTGCCAGGCGCCCGTATGCTGCAGCAGTTATTTGGTTGATGTGTGCCTCCGGTGACGTGCTCGGTGTTATGGTCACCCCAAGGTCTTTCTCCCTGAGTGAGGTCTGTAGTCTTTGTCCACCTAGCCTATACTCTGTCTGCGGTCTTCTTTGCCCCTCCCCAATCTTCATGACTTTGCATTTGGCAGGATTGAATTCGAGAAGCCTGTTTCTGGACCACGTGTCCAGCATGTCCAGGTCTCTTTGCGGTCCTGCCTCATCCTCATCCGATTTAATTCTTCTCATCAACTTCACATCATCTGCGAATAGGGACAATTCAAAGTCTATTCCTTCCATCATGTCGTTCGCATATATCAAAAATAGCACTGGCCCTAGAACTGACCCCTGTGGGACCCCGCTCGTCACAGGCGCCCACTGTGATACCTCTTCACGTACCGTGACTCGTTGCTGCCTCCCTGTCAGGTATTCCCTTATCCATTGCAGTGCCCTCCCTGTTACATGCGCCTGATCCTCCAGCTTCTGCACTAATCTTTTGTGGGGAACTGTGTCAAAGGCCTTCCTGCAGTCTAGGAAAACGCAATCTACCCACCCCTCTCTCTCTTGTCTTACTTCTGTTACCTTGTCATAAAACTCCAGGAGGTTTGTGAAACAAGATTTGCCTTCCATGAACCCATTCTGGTTTTCATTTATAATCTTGTTCCGTTCTAGGTGTTCGACCACTCTCCTCCTGATAATCTTCTCCATGACTTTGCACACAATACATGTCAGAGACACAGGTCTGTAGTTTAGCGCCTCGTTTCTGTTTCCTTTCTTAAATATGGGGACTACATTTGCTGTCTTCCATTTCTTAGGTAGTTGCCCAGTTTCAAGGGATGTGTTGAAGATTGTGGTTAGAGGCACGCACAGCATCTCTGCTCCTTCTCTAAGGACCCATGGGGAGATGTTGTCCGGTCCCATCGCCGTTGAGGTATCAAGGTCACTTAGCAGCTTCTTCACCTCCTCCTCGGTTGTTCGTATGTCATCCAACACTTGGTGGTATATTCCCTCTTGATGTTCCCTTCTGTGCTGACTTCCCACAGCTTTTCCTGTCTCTACTGTAAAAACTTCCTTAAATCTCCTGTTTAGCTTCTCACATACCTCCTGGTCATTTATTGTGAGTTCTCCCCCTTCTGTCCTTAATCTGATAACCTGGTCTTTGACTGTTGTCTTCCTCCTGATGTGGCTATGCAACAGTTTCGGGTCAGTCTTGTTTTTCGATGCTATGTCATTTTCATACTGTCGCTGGGCCTCCCTCATTACCTGTGCGTACTCGTTCCTGGCTCTGCGACTGATCTCCCTATTTTCGCGTGTTCTCTGCCTTCTATACTTTTTCCATTCTCTATTGCACTTTGTTTTTGCCTCCTTACACCGTCGGGTAAACCAGGGGCTCGTTCTGGTCTTCCCGTTGTTACTGTTGCCCACGGGAGTAAACCTTTCCACTGCCTCCTTGCATCTTGTTGTTACATATTCCATCATTTCATTTACTGGCTTTCCTGCCAGTTCTCTGTCCCACGGGACCTCCTGCAGGAAGTTCCTCAACCCTATGTAGTCCCCTCTTTTATAGCCAGGCTTTTCCCATTCAACTCCTGTTACTCTCTCCACTTGCAGCTCTACTATATATTCAAAGCACAGAACCACGTGGTCGCTAGCTCCTAGGGGACTCTCATACGTGATGTCCTCAATGTCTGAACTGCCCAGGGTGAACACAAGGTCCAATCTTGCTGGTTCATCCTCCCCTCTCACTCTGGTAGTGTCCTTAACATGTTGGTGCATGAGGTTTTCCAGCACCACGTCCATCATCTTGGCTCTCCATGTTTCGGGACCCCATGTGGCTCCAGGTTTTCCCAGTCAATCTCCCTGTGGTTGAAATCCCCCATAACCAGCAACTTTGCTCTGCTGGAGTGAGCTCTTCTTGCCACCTCAGCAAGTGTGTCCACCATTGCTCTGTAGCTCTCTTCATATTCCTCTCTTGGCCTCCTGCAGTTCTGTGGTGGATTATACATCACTGCAATGACCACCTTGTGTTCCCCAGACTGAAGTGTACCTACTATGTAGTCTCTTTCTCCCGTCTCATCTATACCTTCCATTTTCTCGAATTTCCATCTGTTTTTTTACAAGCAGAGCAACCCCACCTCCCCCCCTGCCCCTTCTATCTTTCCTCATGATCTGGTATCCTGGTGGGAAGATTGCATCTGTTACTGTCCCCGTGAGTTTTGTTTCTGTAACTGCTATGATGTCTGGGGACTTCTCATTGATTCTTTCTTGCCATTCCTCATGTTTATTCGTTAATCCATCTGCATTTGTGTACCAAACCTTCAACTTCTGTTCTAATACTGTAACTGTGGTGCGGGGGGTGGAAACAGAGGGATCGGTGTGTGATGGTTGGTTTGGAATGTTCAGTTGCCTTGGGGGTGTCGTGGCTGGAGTCCTTCTGCAGGTGTTTCTGGGGTGTGTGCTTGTCCTTCCACTTGTTCCTGTGTAATTCTGCTCTCCTTTTTCATTTCCTCCCATTTCCTCCCATTTCTCTTTGTGTGTGTGTGTGTGTGTGTGTGTGTGTGTGTGTGTGTGTGTGTTTTATTCACTCTCTACAAATCTGAGATGCAAAATATACACTTGAATCAATGAATAAATGTATATTACATGTTCTCTTTTTTTCTTATTTCTCACCACTCTCTTCTCTCTCTCTCTCTCTCTCTCTCTCTCTCTCCTCTCTCTCTCTCTCTCTCTCTCTCTCTCTCCTCTCTCTCTCTCTCTCTCTCTCTCTCTCTCTCTCTCTCTCTCTCTCTCTGTTGCTTCCTCCCTAATTCCTTCCTTCTCTCCAATATCTCTGGTTTATCTCTCCATACTTTCATCAGCCCATTTTTTTTCTTTCCCTTCCCCTCCTGCGATGTCTAGCTCTCTTCCTTCCTCTCCATCGATGTTTTACCTCTCCCCTCCTTTACTTCGATGTCTCACCCCCCACTCCCATTTTCTTCCTCTTTACTTCTCACCGTCTCTATCACTTGAGATCTCTCATCTCTCCACAGGTGAGAGACCTCAACGTGGTAAGGTACGCGGACTTCGAGGACCACCGTGGTCGTGTGACCTCCACCCTGGGTCTTCGCTGGATGGCACCAGAATACTTCCACAACAACCTGGCCAGAGTCACCTGCACGGCTACTGTTGGAGATCACTCTAACGCAGCCTCCAAAGACATATACCTAGACCCAGCCTCCAGCGCCGCCTTCAATCACCCATACGGCTCTGCGGGTGGGCGTTATGTATATGTATATGAATATGTGTATACATATATATATATATATATATATATATATATATATATATATATATATATATATATATATATATATATATATATATATATATATATATATATATATATATATATATATATATATATATATATATATATATATATATATATATATATATATATATGTGTGTGTGTGTGTGTGTGTGTGTGTGTGAATTTTAGAACCCAGTGTTTTAGAACCCTGTGTTTTAGAACCCAGTGTTTTAGAACCCTGTGTTTTAGAACCCTGTGTTTTAGAACCCAGTGTTTTAGAACCCTGTGTTTTAGAACCCAGTGTTTTAGAACCCAGTGTTTTAGAACCCTGTGTTTTAGAACCCTGTGTTTTAGAACCCTGTGTTTTAGAACCCAGTGTTTTAGAACCCAGTGTTTTAGAACCCAGTGTTTTAGAACCCAGTGTTTTTGAACCCAGTGTTTTAGAACCCAGTGTTTTAGAACCCAGTGTTTTAGAAACCTGTGTTTTAGAACCCTGTGTTTTAGAACCCTGTGTTTTAGAACCCAGTGTTTTAGAACCCAGTGTTTTAGAACCCAGTGTTTTAGAACCCAGTGTTTTAGAACCCAGTGTTTTAGAAACCAGTGTTTTTGAACCCAGTGTTTTAGAACCCAGTGTTTTAGAACCCTGTGTTTTAGAACCCTGTGTTTTAGAACCCTGTGTTTTAGAACCCAGTGTTTTAGAACCCAGTGTTTTAGAACCCAGTGTTTTAGAACCCAGTGTTTTTGAACCCAGTGTTTTAGAACCCAGTGTTTTAGAACCCAGTGTTTTAGAACCCTGTGTTTTAGAACCCTGTGTTTTAGAACCCTGTGTTTTAGAACCCAGTGTTTTAGAACCCAGTGTTTTAGAACCCAGTGTTTTAGAACCCAGTGTTTTAGAATCCAGTGTTTTAGAACCCAGTGTTTTAGAACCCAGTGTTTTAGAACCATGTTTTAGAACCTTTTTAAATCAAGTGTTTTAACCCTTTTTGAAATTTAAACATTTTTAGAACCTGTGTTTTAGAACCCTGGTTTAGAACCCTGTTTAACCCTATGTTTTAAACTCAGTTTTTGAGTAAAATGCGACCCTTTTTGACCCATTTTTAGAACCCAGTGTTTTAAACTCAATCGTATTTCCTGTTTTAAAATCCATATTAATTTAGAACTGTAGAAAATATTCCTGTTCCCTCTTCGCATCCTTTCTTAGCCTTTCTTTTCTAACCGTTTTTCCTTTTTATTTCCACTTGTTTTAGTCAACCCGTGTTGACCTGTTTAAACCCATGTTTTAGCACCCTCCTTTACTCTTGTTAATCAACCCTTCCCATTCTTAACACCTCCACTTCTACACCCCCTCCACCTCTCTCTCCTCCCACCTTCTCTACACCCCTTCCAGCCTACTCTAAACCCTCTCCACACTTTCATAGCAAACCCTCTTACCCTAAATCTCTAAACCTCCCTCCCATTCTCTATCACCCCCTACCACTTTTCTACTACCCCTCCCACCTTCTCTAACACCCCCTCCCACCTTCTCTACACACCCCCTCCCACCTTCTCTACACCCCCTTCCCCACCTTCTCTACACCCTTCCCACCTACTCTACACCCCCTCCCACCTTCTCTACACTTCCTCCCACCTTCTCTACACCCTCTCCCACCTACTCTACACCCCTCCCACCTTCTCTACACCCCCTCCCACTCTACCTCTACACCTACACCCCTCCCACCTTCTCTACACCCCACCTCCCACCCTCACTCTCTACAACCCCCTCCCACCTTCTCTACAACCCCCTCCCACCTTCTCTACACCCCCTTCCCACCTACTCTACACCCCCTCCCACCTTCTCTACACATCCTCCCACCTTCTCTACACCCCTCCCACCTCTCTACACCCCCTCCCACCTTCTCTAACCCCAACCCTCTACACCCTCCCACCTTCTCACCCACTACTCACACCCCTCCCACCTTCTCTACACCCCCCTCCCACCTTCTCTACAACCCCCTCCCACCTTCTCTACACACTACTCCACACCCCTCCCACCTTCTCTAAACCACCCCTCCCACCATCTCTACACCCCTCCCACCTTCTCTACCCTACACCTCTCTACACCACCTACTCCTACACACCCCCACTCTCATCACCTTCCTCTACACCTCCTCCCACATTCTCTACACCCCCTCCCACCTATTCTACACCCCCTCCCACCTTCTCTACAACCCTCTCCCACCATCTCTACAACCCCCTCCCATCTTCTCTACAACACCCCTCCCACCTTCTCTACACCCCTCCCACCTTCTCTACACCCCCTTCCACCTACTCTACACCCCCTCCCACCTTCTCTACACCCCCTCCCACCTTCTCTACACCCCTGCCACCTTCTCTACACCCCCTCCCACCTTCTCTACATCCCTCCCACCTTTCTCACACCCCTCCCACCTACTCTACACCCCCTCCCACCTTCTCTACACCCCCTCCCACCTTCTCTACACCCCTGCCACCTTCTCTACACCCCTCCCCACCTTCTCTACACCCCCCTCCCACCTTCTCTACACTCCTCCCACCTTCTCTACACCCCCTCCCACCTGCTCTACACCCCCTCCCACCTCTACACCTCCTCCCACCTTCTCTACACCTCCTCCCACTTTATCTACACCCCCTCCCCTCTTTCCTTCCACGGATATGTCTGCCCCTTCTTGATGTATCATCGTCTCTCCCCCAGGACATCATCTGCCAACCACTTGGACTATCGTCAGCCTCACCTTCTTCCATGTAGTCCGGAGTCTGCCCTAGAAGTCTGCCCTAGGAGTCTGCCCTAGGAGTCTGCCCTAGGAGCCTGCCCTGGGAGTCTGCCCTAGGAGCCTGCCCTGGGAGTCTGCCCTAGGAGTCTGCCCTGGGAGTCTGCCCTGGGAGTCTACCCTAGGAGTCTGCCTAGGAGTCTGGCCTAGGAGCCTGCCCTAGGAGCCTGCCCTAGGAGTCTGCCCTAGGAGTCTGCCTAGGAGTCTGGCCTAGGAGCCTGCCCTAGGAGTCTGCCCTAGGAACCTGCCCTAGGAGTCTGCCCTAGGAGTCTGCCCTGGGAGTCTGCCCTAGGAGCCTGCCCTGGGAGTCTGCCCTAGGAGTCTGCCTAGGAGTCTGGCCTAGGAGCCTGCCCTAGGAGTCTGCCCTAGGAACCTGCCCTAGGAGTCTGCCCTAGGAGTCTACCCTAGGAGTCTGGCCTAAGAGTCTGCCCTAGGAGCCTGCCCTTGGAGTCTACCCTAGGAACCTGCCCTAGGAGTCTGCCCTAGGAGTCTACCCTAGGAGTCTGGCCTAGGAGTCTGCCCTAGAAGCCTGCCCTAGGAGTCTACCCTAGGAACCTGCCCTAGGAGTCTACCCTAGGAACCTGCCCTAGGAGTCTACCCTAGGAGCCTGCACTAAGACAAGCACTATCAAAAAGGAGATAGAGACGAAGAGACCGTCTCTCCCGTGTGTGTGTTATATTTTTATTGTTTATCTCAGCCAGTCCACAGGCCTACTCTCCTGGGCCTATAGAATAGTCTTGTGGTTTGGTCCTGCAGTATGGTCCTGCAGTATGGTCCTGCAATATGGTCCTGCAGTATGGTCCTGCAGTATGGTCCTGCAATATGGTCCTGCAGTATGGTCCTGCAGTATGGTTCTGCAGTATGGTCCTGCAGTATGGTCCTGCAATATGGTCCTGCAGTATGGTCCTGCAGTATGGTCCTGCAATATGGTCCTGCAGTATGGTCCTGCAATATGGTCCTGCAGTATGGTCCTGCAGTATGGTCCTGCAGTATGGTCCTGCAGTATGGTCCTGCAGTATGGTCTCTGCAGTATGGTCCTGCAGTATGGTCCTGCAGTATGGTCCTGAAGTATGGTCCCTGCAGTATGGTCCTGCAGTATGGTTCTGCAGTATGGTTCTTGCAGTATTATCCCTGCAGTATGGTCCTGCAGTATGATCCCTGCAGTATGGTCCTGCAGTATGGTCCTGCAGTATGGTCCTACAGTATGGTCCTACAGTATGGTCCTGCGTTAGGCTGGAAATACAACATAAAATTCCCCTCATTACGTCACAGTCTCCAGCTGGACAACAAGAGGAGACACACACATACTAAGCTACGAAATGATGCTCAATAGTAACCCAGAGAAGTACTGGTCTTTATTCTGGGAGGGAGAAAGGGGAGGAAAAGGGGAGGGGAGAGAACTTGGGTTCCGAACCCCTCAAGAAAGGGGCTGCAAATATGTGGGTTATGAACAGCCCATATTCTTCTTCTCTCCTCCCCCCTCCCATCTCTCTCCCTCTCTCCCTCTCTATCTATCTATCTATCTATCTATCTACCTATCTATCTATCTATCTATCTATCTATCTATCTATCTATCTATCTGTCTGTCTATCTATCTATCTATTTATCTATCCATCTTACGTTCTTCGCATTCATTTATTTGCGCTAGCATTCTTCTTCTTTTCCACCTCAGTATCGTGATTTATTCCTCCCGGCTTGAATAAACTGGTGAGAGTAACAAAAAAATGCACTTTCCTCCTCCACCTCATGAATTCATTGCCTGCAAATGAACTCTGGGAGAAGCAAGGAAGAGAGTTTGAGTGCAGGATGCAGCCTCAACCACCACTGGCGCTCTCAGCCTCTCCCTCCACACCGGTAATTTCCAAGACGGGAGAGACAGGAGTTGACAGATGAAGCGGGAATGCATTTAGTGATGAGCTTTTGTTATGGACTGCATCCGGCTCTTTGTACAGCTTCATTAAGTCATGAATAGAGATCCATCAAGAGCCAGGTGCATAGTACAGGTTTGATATGCACTGAAAATGTCTTATGCCATAGGTAAAGAGGCAGCACCTGCTGTCTTAGTGCCAGCGTGCAGGTGAGTGAGACATACAAGGCTGTGTTGCGGTCAAGAACTTAATTTTCTATAGTTCTCCGGGATAACTTAACACTGCCTGGTGTACCTTGTGTCATCCAGCAGGCATTTATCGTTCCTGATGGGGAAGCAGTCAAGCAGACAGAGAGAGAGAACTGGCAGTTTTGCCAACTGACAGCTGCTGCCTGTATCTCTGAAGAGACACACAAAACAGTTATATTTTGCCAATGTTTTGAGTTAAATTCTGAAAGTGATGAACAACTACTGGAATGGAAGCTGTAGTCTGTGACCTCGTCCAGGTTAATACATGACCCATGAACTGTGTAAAATATTCAGATGTAATCCACTGTGGGTTACAAATAAATTATGATTAAGACACATGTCCAACAGTTTCGTATCTTTACTGTTAAAACGTTATCGCCTACACAGTAGGCTTCTTCAGTCAAATATGGAGGCAGCAGGAGTAGCAGCCAAGTAAAGTTGATGTAATCAGTCTATCAACCTTGAAGAAACTAGTATTTGAGGTGGTCAGTCCCTCAGCCTGGAGACGAATTCTGCTCCATGGTCTGGAACAAGGTGGTCAGTCCCTCAGCCTGGAGAAGAATTCAGCTCCATTGTCTGGAACAAGGTGGTCAGTCCCTCAGCCTGGAGAAGAATTCTGCTCCATTGTCTGGAACAAGGTGGTCAGTCCCTCAGCCTGGAGAAGAATTCAGCTCCATTGTCTGGAACAAGGTGGTCAGTCCCTCAGCCTGGAGAAGAATTCAGCTCCATTGTCTGGAACAAGGTGGTCAGTCCCTCAGCCTGGAGAAGAATTCAGCTCCATTGTCTGGAACAAGGTGGTCAGTCCCTCAGCCTGGAGAAGAATTCAGCTCCATTGTCTGGAACAAGGTGGTCAGTCCCTCAGCCTGGAGAAGAATTCAGCTCCATTTCTGGAACAATTAGAAAGACATCAAGAATAAAAACACCCAACTGTTCCACATGTGTCTTAATCATCAACTTGTCAGTATTTTATACCATTTTCAACATTTAAATTAATAATAACTGGTGACAGGATGAGATGGTAGATGTGATACTGACTATTATTTATCTTTTTACCGAGAAAGACACAGGAAGAACAACGAATAATTCTGAGGAAATGTATTATTTTTCCCTCAGTAGAGCGTTTATCTGGCCCCGTTTAGAGCTTTGCAAAGCTCCTTATCTCCCCCTGCCTTCCAGCCTGGCATTCATACTTCTAAAGCTCAATGGGCTACAGGCTTCGACTCCCCTCCTGTCTTTAAGGCTCAGTTACTGCCGCCTCAACACACCAAAAGCCTCCTTACTGATCTGGTTTTAATTTTCAATCCCCCTCTTTTTTTCCTAGGAGTCTAAAATGAACTGAAAAATTTTGGATGTGGAGAAAGTGGCTAAGATATAATACATAAATCAGAAGTGATGAATTTTGGATTTGTGTGTGTGTATGTATGTGTGTGTGTGTGTGTGTGTGTGTGTGTGTGTGTGTGTGTGTGTGTGTGTGTGTGTGTGTGTGTGTGCACCGAGAAGTGTATTTCTCTGTGTGTTTATATGTTGAGATGCATTTATTTCTGTGTATATACACCGAGATATGAATCTCTCAGTGTATATATACCGAGAGACGTGTATCTCTCATTGTATATACGCCGAAAGGTTAGATTCAATAATTGGGTTTCAAGTCTATCTACTACACGAGGATCATTAGTGCTACGCGTCACATGTTTAATACCAAACAGGAATACTTTTATACCTAAAACAGTGAATAAAGAAAACTCTCAGAGACATACACAACTCAGTGTATATGTCCTTCTCCGAGAGGTGTGTATATCTCAGCGTATATACATTGAGAGTTTACATAAATCCCCAATTAAACGTTTAGTGTCATTAACAAGTGATGTACAGATGATATTCAACCTTACTAACCCTAGTGTAGCAGATAGGCATTAAACCTAGCTAACTCACCAGATAAAAGCTATCTCTAGGAGCAAGTATCAGTATACAAAACACCGTTCCAAACTACCCAATAAAAATCACTAAAACCTTTATCGAAGAGAAATAATTGATATACATTGAAGAAGAATAGACACACTTATCCGTAATTGCTTTAGTTTCCCCCCTCCTCTTCCCCCTCCTTCTTCTCCTCCTCTTCCCCCTCCTCCTTCTCCTCCTCTTCCCCCTCCTCCTTCTCCTCTTCCCCTCCTCATCCTCCTCCTTCTCTTCCTCCTCCTCCTCCTCCTCCTTCTCCTCCTCTTCCCCCTCTTCCCCCTCCTCCTCCTTCTCCTCCTCCCCCCTCTTCCTCCTTCACTCCAGCTACGATCAGCTGACAACACGATGGTGATCAATATTTTGGGGGAATAAAATTATTGAAACAGCCTGAGGAAAGTGAGCAACACCAAGATATTTGTGTGGAATTATTGTGGTACTCGCACTTAAGTGCGAGTGAATATATTAGAGAGTATTATGAGTGAATAAGTATGTAAAACGTGAAGAGTGCAAGAAGAGAACGCCAACTTTAGTGCATAATAGAGTGAAAATGCCGTGAATAAAGTGGTAGAAAAGAGAGAGTAAAGTGGAGCCCCTCTGTGTGTTTACCCCCGGTTAACGATAATTTTTCACTCCAGAAGTATGTTCAGGTGCCAGTACTGACCGAATTTGTTCCCATAAGAAATATTGTGAAGTAGATTAGTCCATTTCAGACCCCCAAACATACACGTACAAACGCACTTACATAAATATACTTACATAATTGGTCGCATTCGGAGGTAATCGTTATGCGGGGGTCCACTGTATTAAAGTATTCTTGTTTGGTGGTGACATGTTGCCTTACTGACCCTCGTGTAGTAGATAGGCTTCAAACCTCCCAGAAAAACAATGGAACTAAAGAATCTATTTAAATAAGGAAAATAAAGCAAGTTAAACAATGAAACTTTAAAAAATAATAAAATTAAATAAAACACACACACACACACATTCAGTGAATAGGCGGGGCCAAGAGCTGTGACTCGACCCCTGCAACCACAGCTAGGTGAGTGCACACACACACACTAGTATATCAATATATAAATCACTTCATTCCTATAATTTCAGTGTTATACTGCAGGCAAGATAATCTTCCCTGGTGTATAATTCCAGTTATATGATTATATAATTCCTAACTGATTTTTAAACCAATGTGATTAAAAATTCTATTTATGCACTCTCAATTTTTTTTACTCTGTATCTAAAATTGTTATCTAATGTGTATTATATACACTATGTAAACATTATATACATGATATATACACATTATTAACGCATTAAATGTGATATCTGTGTGTATTTTACAACAAAAAATCAAAATTATGTAAAGAAATGTGGTTTTTGTTAAGTGCGGAAAAAGATCGACGTTCAGTGGTCAGTTGAGTGGCAGCAACAGCCAATCACCACTCAGAAAGCAATGGCGATTAGCCACTCATCAAGGTGCTAGAGGGACACCTGAAGTCAGTACCTGACCAGCCGGGCTGCGGTTCGTACGTCGTTATGCGTGCGGTCATCAGTAACAGCCTGGTTGATCAGGCCATGATCCACCATGAGGCCTGATCACAGGCCAGGCCGCGGGGGCGTTGACCCCCGGAACACTCTCCAGGTAAACACTCGTCTGACGGCGTAACTGAGAGTCTTCTGTGTGCCACGGCGGACGAAGCGTCGTAGTATCAATGCTTTCCTGACTTGGACTGACTCTGAAATATCACCGGTCAGTTTACGGTATTGTCTTACAGCCAATCACCAAGCAGGACTCCACAGTGATTAGCCAATGAGAGAGCAGATTCTGGGGAACGTCAGACCAATACTGACTTGTTGTTCAAACAGTGAATTGTGTTTCTCAGTGAGTATGTAGATTTATATATATATAAATATATATATATAAATAATATATATATATATATATATATATATATATATATATATATATATATATATATATATATATATATATATAGATAGATAGATAGATAGATAGATAGATAGATAGATAGATAGATAGAGAGAGAGATTGAGAGGGAGAGAGAGAGAGAGAGAGAGAAACTTATTCTGTGTATTGGGTATTAAAGTATTCTTGACTGGTGATCTATACAGGTGAAATGCAGTCTTAAATGACCCTCAGGTAGTCGATAGGCTTCAAACCCGACTAACCAACCAGTGAACTAAGGAGAGAATTGATATCTACTGTTTAAAGTGACGCTATTCTCTCTCTCTCTCTCTCTCTCTCTCTCTCTCTCTCTCTCTCTCTCTCTCTCTCTCTCTCTCTCTCTCTCTCTCTCTCTCTCTCTCTCTTGTAAAGAGAGAAACTTGAAATTTCACGACTCATATTTTGCTTTGAACAAGTGAGACAATTAGGTAACTCACGTCCTCAACATGACATAATCATGTCTCCATGACTGACTCTCTCCATGTACTCTGCTGATTATCTCGAATTATTTTTGTTTTTTGTGGATTATTCCTCTGTATTTTTAATTGTAATCGTGGGGGAAGTGCTCAACCACACTAACAATAATATTACAGCGGTCTAAGCAGACACATCAGGCTTTCAAAGCAGACATGTCAAGATTTCGCAGCAGACATGTCAAGCTTCCGTGGCAGACATATCAAGCTTTCAAATCTGACATCCAAGTTATTCAAAGCAGATAAGTCAGTCATTCAAAGCAGCAGTGCCCGTCTCTCCCAGCAGACAGCAGAAAAATGTCGCGAATGCTTTAGAAAACAAAACAAAACAAAAATACAGACTGACAAACAGCGTCAGTGTGCGAGAGTTTAAAGTCAGTAAACACCAGTTGCAGAAGAATTAAAAATATAAAAATACCGGCCAGTGGGACCTAGTGGGAAGTGTGTCTACGCAGACAATGTCTGGTACCAGCTGGTACACAGACAATGTCTGTGTACCAGCTGGTACACAGACATTAACTGTGGACCAGCTGAACAGCAGAGAATCATCTGTATCTCAACCGCATAATGTTGCTGTTGGAAAAACAATAGTAATAAAAGTGAGCAAAGAATAGCCAAAAAGAAGAGCACAGCAAAGAACAAAGAACGTAACAAAGGCAGGGCAAAGAACGCTCTTCTCTCCTCTCAGATTCTGTCTACGGACCGCTGCAAGAAAACTTCCTTTTTATACTCTAGATTTGGACGTCGGAATCAGAGCTCTCATTGGTTCCATGACATCCAATCAAATGCTCCACCAGTGTCAACACTAGTCATTTTGCTTTCTGATTGGTCGAGAGGCTGCCCTGTCACTAGCTAGATGTTCACATGGCAACGATCACTGATTTTCACAATGTTTTTTGGAATAAATCCTTCGCTACAGACATGCGCAAAGAAATCTCGCTTGTATGATTGTGATCACTGTATATCAAGACCTGTCGACTCCTCTGTTGTGAGTTGACAGGTCCAGAAACTGTCAGTTGTTAAAGGTGTCACCTCTGCCTCTCTTTCTATCTCTCACTCTCTCAAGGTCACACCAGGAGACCTGACTCGACTCGAAGTGACTCGTACACCTGCTTGACCTGCCTCCACCTGACATGACCTTCATCTCTGTGAAAGACTTGACGATAAATCACGATAATCTTACCATCTGGATATTATTCTAACGATTAATTTAGCAGCTGATCTGCTTTCCACGTCTGCCAATGCGATATGTACATGGTATTCTCTAAAATATGCATATAAAAATGTGTATGAATTATATATATAATATATATATATAATATATATATATATATATATATATATATATATATATATATATATAATATATATATATATTATATTATTATATATATATATATATATATATATATATATATTATAATTCATCATTAAGTTTGGATATATGTGTAAAAATGTAATAGTATATACAGGCACACCTATTTTGTTAAATATTAATATAATGTGTAATGCCTATACTGGTAGGCCTACAGTGTCCCCTATGCCCTTGTGCTGTTGTTCTCCTGCGCCCCCAGTACCCACACACACCTGCCTTCCAGTGCAGTGCCAACAAGCAGGCCCAAGCACTGGTTAAAGACAACTATCAAACACACTCTCCGTGCCTCGCCCTTCACACAATATCGTATCATTTTTTGCCTCTAGTACAAGCGGATGTACAATGCTTACACAATGAATCAAACCAAATGAACGTGAAGAAACCTAACACGTTGCATTGCAAGCTTTCATTGCGAGGTGGGTGAAACGTTGTCTCAATAAAAGATTATTCTGCAACGTGTGTCTTTTCTTAACTATGTATAGCTGTGTGGAGGAAATATAAAAGTAAAAATATACATTAAAATCCTGTAAGCCATCCTTGTTTTCTTTCTTATTTCTTGATTGTATTGCTTCCACATCCCCGTTTTGTATCTCCTTTTCTCCCTTATGTCCTCCTCTACCTTTTCCTCCTCCCTGGCTTTGTACATGCATACCATAAACTTTATATAATATATATATATATTTA